CTAAATAGTTAAACAAAATAATTAACCTTTAAAGTTTTTAGTACAATTTTTATGACTTCGCAAGGTTTTTTTAAATTAATATTTGCTTAAATAGAGAACACATAATATTTTCGAAAATAAATTTTTGTAAAAAAATTAATAATTTTATGTCATATTATCGCATATTATTAAACATATAAATTTTTTAATTTCAATGCCAAAATCTATAATATTATTAATGTTTCTTCTACTATTGGAAGGTGTTGATTTTAATGATTCAGATTTAATAATTATTTACTTACTACGTGTGATCTTTAATTAAACTTATACAAAAAGGTAAATAGATTTATTTTAATTAAGGTTTTATTTATGTCACTTATTTTTAATATATTTAACAAAGCTTGGTATTGTCCCATTACAACTTTAAGTCTTATTCTTATATAACAAAAAAACAATAATAATAACATCGAATAAATAATAAAAACCCTTTATATATAATGAAAACTACAATAACATAATAAAGTTTATACAGCAAGGAACTCATGAAAAAAATTTATTTTATTTATATGAAACAAAGCAAGATATACATAACTTCTTAAAATATTACTAACTAAAATATCACTTATCCACTCTAAAGATACACGCATTCCCACACCTAATATATAGAACAAAACAAAGTCATCCAAAGTGCTCACAACAGGGGTTAGCACAATAACATTAATAGTTTGAGTAAGAAGAGCATAAACTATGCATAGAGCTATTGGGACCTAGCAAATCCAGGTATAGTAAAACTTCAATGTAGATTTTGTAATACAAACGTTTTAGGCATGCTTGAAGCTCTATTACTGGAATAGATCTGCTAGACCTTAACAGTTCCTTTTAAAGTGTGTTTACAGATCAGAAACCGACTAAGGGTTTTAAGTCCAAACCCCATACACCGTAGTTCTAATATATAAGTATCATGCCATCAGGGAAGTCGAACATAATAAAAATCTCATATTTAAGTAAAAGTAAATTCTAAGTAGACGAACTTTTTAATAATTATAATATATAATAATATATAATATATATATATATATTTATATATATATAACAATAATACCAAAAGAAGCTATAACTTCATCACTAAAATTAATTCACTTAATATCATAACCGCAACATTTATAATATCATATATTGATGCAAATAAATCATAAAAAAATTAATTATCTTAAACAATAATAAAAATTTTGCAAAAATTATGTTAACCAAAATAAAAAATTATATCATTCTCATGTAAAAAAAGCCTTTATATGGTAATATTTTTTTAACAAAAATTGATTAACATTTAAATGTTAATAAATTTCTTTTCTCATGTTCAACAAAAAAGATTTAATAAACAAAACCGAATAAAGCAGAAAAAAACACAAATAATGCCCAAATATTTACTTTCACTTTTCATTGATACAATAACTTAAATTGAAACAATATTAATTTGTTTAGGTAAAAAATTATTTATAATTATTATACATAATATTTATACTTAATTATGATTGCATGACTTTATTTTAGTTAAAATTCTGAACAGAATTGGTGAGTTGGTGGAGAATTAATTATTTCACCACAGCATAGAATATACAACGACATATTATTGTTTAAATAGTATTTTATAATAAACATTTTTACACAAAAATATCATATTTATCATGTTACTACAATATTAGTTATTATATTTTATGTATTACAATCTTATCGAATATGTGTTTAATAAAAACGTAGCAATTGAAATGATTTTTAAAATTTATAAATTTACAAAATACATAAACGTTAGCGACCTTCAAGTGCACAATGAAAAGATATTTGTTAATCATTGCTCACAGTTGAAAAGTTCAAATAAAATGTTTAAATTAAGTTTAAAATAAAAAATTTTCTGCAAATAATAAAATCTAAATTTGATTTATACAATACAATATTTGCTTGAGTTCAATTTACAATGTTACAACAATTTAATTCATTAAAATTTTTTATTGCTTCATATCTCTTAAATCTTCTCAAGATTTTGCCATATTTTGTAATCTGAGTCAAATTCGATGAGTTTGCAATTTGCACAATTTTATTTAGTAAAAGTGTATACTTTCAAAGTAAATAATTTATTTTTTATGGGCAAAGCATAAAAAATTAAGTTATAATGTTACGGATAATTGGCACATATTATATATACATAAAAAACCAATAAAAGAATTATTAAGTAGTTTTCAATGAGGTCTACGAATGTGAACCCCGCTTCGAAATATTAAACCATAAATTGCTATTATTTTATGATATTTATATTTAAATTACATTTTTTTAATTTGTAACTTAAAATTAATGTAAATAATTTATTGTTTAATTTATAGTGACGTACTACTTGATACATGATCATTTTTATAATAATTTTAATATAAATATTTATTGTCTTACATAAAAAATTTGTAATGAAACTTCAAACTAATTTAGTTTATTTTTTTTTTTGTTTGCTGCAATTAAAATTTAATTTTACAAACATAAATATAATAATAAACTGCATTAATTAAATAATATGAATAAAATATTCATTTATGTTTCTTGATCAAAATTCAACTAAGCTTGCAGTTAAGGTGGTGAAAAAGTCAATAACGCTTGATATTGGAATATAGAGAAAGAGGACATTTTTAAGAACATTTTTAGATATAATGTTTTTTTACTAATGCCGTTTTCGATTCCTAAATCTGGAGTAATTTTTTCATTCGAGATGGTCTGTTAATAAACTTTTAGTGTAATTTTCATTCACGATTGATAAATGTCAAGCGAAATGTATAACACTCGAGGTTAATTTATAACACTAGATATTTTGCCAGAGTAGCAAGATTACACTGAAATTTATAGCTGTTTTATATGACTTGACAAATAAACTATGTTTTGATTCGATATATATAGTTAATAATAACATAAATGTCTACAAAACTATTACAAATTTGTTAGATTACTCTAAAAATATTGACCATTCAACAAAATTTGACACTCGAGAGTAAATTTAGATTGAATCCAGATTTATTACAGATTTATTTACATATTTAGATACAGATTTATTTTATTTAGTTTGTGTGTATTGAACAGGTTTACAAAAGTTATAAAAAAAACAAAATTTATGGCATTTATATTTAAACTTCACAATAGAATCTTTATTATTATATATTTTCAACTAAAAGTTTAGCATGAATTAAAAAATAGTATTGTGGTTCCGCTAACAAATTAAAAACTTTAACAAGATACTTAACAATATTTAACAAGTTAAATGGAAATGCAACCAAAAACATAATTATTATTTGTATATAAAAGGTTTATAATATGTTTATTAAAAAAAACGGAACACAATATAAATAATTGTAACAGTAACAGTAAATCGGTATAGTATATAGTACTTTATTTTCTATTCTTTATTTTTCAATATAGACATATATATTGCTATATATATTTCACATATATCAACATCAATATAAATTTAATTAATTCACTTCGCCTATATATTTTAGTATTGAATAATTTTCATATGCGCTAATAATTTGTTTGAGTTTGAGTAAATTGATGGTAAATAGAGGGAAATAGTAAATTATATTGATATGGCAGCGAATGTTGGTATTTACCAGAATTTCGAGTAGAGTAAATTAAATTATGTAAATTAGGTGTTATCATTGTGAAAATATTTAAAGATGTTTAATAAATAAATAAATAAATTTGAAGACTTTTAACCAAAATTAATAAATAAGTGCAATAAATAAATAAATAAATAAGTATTTACAAAAGTACAGTGAAAATCCTTAGGAAATCAATTTACTCGAACTTTCACACGGCCATAATGTGTTTATATATGTATTATAATAATATTATATTATATAAATTTATATTATTGTAATATATATATTATTAAAAATATCAAATTTAACATATATATTCCAACGAGTTTAATTACAATATTTGTGTTAAACTTTAAAAATTGCTTACAAATAAGTAAATAAACAAATAAAACTTTTGATTTGAATTTATATTTATATATGATTGGAAAAAATTATTTTTTTTTTTTATTTTACGTTTTGTTTTTATTGAATCTTCTAAAAATAAACTTAGAACTGACAATAAATTATCGATAGATGTATTCATAAATTCAACACTTATATATAATAAAAGCCAAATGAAACAATATAATAATATTAATAATAGCACAACAAAACTTGAAGCAACTTCAATTTTATATTAATTTCTAAATTACAACGCTCCATCGCATATATTCCAAACATACTATTGTCAAAATGTATTCAGTAATGAAATGTTTATTGAACATAGCATTGAATCACCAAAATTTTATTCACCACTAACATGACATTAACAAAATTGAATTCAACTTATGGAGTTGGTAGCACTGCGATACATTTGACTCAGCGCACAGAACGAGTCGAGGTATATTCGTGTTGGTTTTGCTTGATTTGGGTCGTTGCTACTATCGTGTATTATTGCCTAATTATATCAAGTGAACAGTGTGTTAACTTAAGTGTAAAAAATATTTTAAAATTATATATAAAACTATAATAACAATATTATATAATGGCTGAATCAAAAAGGTAAGAAATATCAGAGATATATAGAGAGAAAAAAAGCCGACAATGGTGCAACAACAATTTACCCTATGAATACAGCTGCCAGCTTCAATTTTCGCGTTGTCATTCAATGAAACTAAAGTGTAAAGTTAAAGAAAAAATTTTTTTTCCTTTGTAAATTTTTTAAAACCATCTAATCAAGACAAAACACAATTTAAGCAATGTAAAACATCACTAAAATTCATTTAAAACAAAATTGTAAAATTTTTATTTTAATTATAGCGTTGCGTCTCAGTACGCCATTTCTTTTTGTAATTATCATTGACACAATACTGAGTAAATTTTTATTTGACATTTAACATTTCAAAAAAAAACTATTGAAAACTACGAATATTAAAAGTATTTTTTGCTAGAATAAATTTTAATTATTATTTATTTTTCAAGTAACAAATAATATGTCAAATTAGTCGATATTAAAAAAATTGTACAAACCAAGCCTAACAATGCCTGGTAGGGGAAATCCTTTTAATCATTCTGAGCCAATGGACGAAGATGATGCCTTTGCTGTTTCTGATTATGTTTCACGTTTCAAACAAAATGAAAAAAAGAAAAAAGGCGTACCAAAACATCCAAATGAGGATATGCCCACCAGCAGTCGTGGCTACCTAATGAATCAAACGTGAATGTCCTAAATATTCATAATATATTCATACAATTCGTACTGTGCAGTTGTGAAATAATATATTTATATATTTTTCAGTGAGGACTTAGCTACTGCCATTCTGAAACGTAAAGATCGCCCAAATCGTTTAATTGTTGAAGAAGCTCTGAATGATGACAACTCAGTGGTGTCGTTATCGCAGGTTAGTCTTATGACTTCTTCTAAACATATTTTTAATTTCTTTTGTTAATTTTTAATTATTTCAATTATTATTTCCTTAAAAAGCTATACTTTTTAGCTCTATATTTTTATTTTTATCTATTATAAACAATCTATTTAATATTACATCTATTACATATTTTATTATAGCAGGGTTCTAATTTATAAAGTTGGGTGTGGTAATTGAACTGTAGTTTTTCATAGATGTATATTTTTTTATTTTAAATTATATTATATTTAACCAATAACAAAAAAAATGAGCAAAACAATTGAACTTGTCCAAGTCATTGTAAAAATTTCCATATGGTATACTTAAGCACGGACTTCGGCTCTTGATCGGTTTACAAACGAGTAAAATCGTAAGACGTATGTAAACCTAGTGAATCTGTATTCATTCACCAAAGACTTTCTTAAACATTTAATGAAAAGTATTATTTATTGCTAAATATGGTTTGTAAACTGTCCACATACGAAGATATCAAACGAGCTTGCAACTAAATACTTTAGATGTCATTGTACACGTGAAATGAAATGTGTGACGTGACTCAACTATTGTTGGTTGGTTTATATGACACTGCAAAAATTTGTTATTACATTCATTCTCTCAGCAATGTACTTGGTTAACAACAATTTTATAGAATACAAGGACTTTCCAAATAAACTTTCGTATTAAACTTGACACCGCAGTCCTTGCGCCGATAAACGATTGTTACGAACGTCCAAATGATCGAAAACTGTGGTGCCTATCCGCATATGGCCATTTGATTTTAGAAAATTTTTGCATGACTTATGCATGCAGCGTAGACAATTTTTGGGTTAGGTTATTTAAGGTTATACCGGCAAGCCCTAAGGGATCCACTTAGGCTCAAATTTTGATCGAATCAATTCAATTCAATTATAATATATAGAATATATAATATAAACTATATATAATATAAACTATATATAAAATGTAGTATATATAATATATAGTATATATCATATATAGTATATATAATATAAACTATATATAATATGTAGTATATATAATATATAGTATATATCATATATAGTATATATAATATATAGTAAATATAATATATAGTATATCTAATATATAGTATATCTAAAATATAGTATATATAATATATAATATAATGTCCATAGAATTTAAAAATACTAATAATAACTGTTGCAAATGCTTTCTGAGGTTTATAAACCTCAGGTGTCATTAAGCAAAATATTTAAGCCGTGTTGCCAACAGTTCAAAAGTTAAATCAGTTTATAGTTAATTACAGCTATATTAAACCTCCCTATACATACAATTTTATTATATTCATTTTTTTAAAGTATTATATAGAAAATATTAATAGATTAGTATCTTCAGTCCATCAAATAAAACATAAGCGAAAAGATTTTATGCTAACGATTACTGTTTGTTTATTTAGTCAAAGATGGATGAGTTACAGTTGTTCCGTGGAGATACTGTCATTCTTAAAGGCAAGCGTCGAAAAGAGACCGTTTGTATTGTACTTTCCGACGAAAATTGTCCCGATGAGAAAATACGGATGAATCGTGTTGTGCGTAACAATTTATGTGTACATTTATCCGATGTTGTTTCTATTCAGTCTTGTCCAGATGTAAAGTACGGCAAACGAGTACGTATCTTACCAATTGATGACACTACTGAAGGCGTTACTGGCAATCTATTCGAAATTTACTTAAAACCATATTTTCTCGAGGCTTATAGGCCCATACATATGGGTGACAATTTTATAGTTCGTGCGGCTATGCGTCCGATCGAATTTAAAGTAGTACTAACTGATCCGGAACCTTATTGCATTGTAGCGCCTGAAACAGTTATATTTTGTGATGGCGATCCAATTAAACGTGAAGTAAGTTTTGAATTCAAAACAATTCGTTTTAATTTTATTAATTTATTTTTCTTCAAACTCAAAGGAAGAGGAAGAATCCTTGAATGCAGTAGGTTATGATGATATTGGTGGCTGCCGTAAGCAATTGGCACAAATTAAGGAAATGGTAGAATTACCATTGCGACATCCATCTTTGTTCAAAGCGATTGGTGTTAAACCACCACGTGGTATACTTATGTACGGTCCACCTGGTACAGGCAAAACTCTAATAGCGCGTGCTGTTGCCAATGAGACAGGCGCATTCTTCTTCCTAATAAATGGGCCCGAAATTATGTCTAAGTTAGCTGGTGAATCTGAATCGAATTTACGTAAAGCTTTTGAAGAGGCAGAGAAAAATTCACCTGCAATTATTTTCATTGATGAGATAGACGCTATTGCACCAAAACGCGACAAGACACACGGTGAAGTAGAACGTCGTATTGTGTCACAATTACTGACTTTGATGGATGGCATGAAGAAGAGTTCACATTTGATTGTAATGGCAGCAACAAATCGTCCAAATTCAATTGATCCTGCGTTGCGTAGATTTGGTCGTTTTGATCGCGAAATCGATATTGGCATACCGGACGCTACTGGCCGCTTGGAAGTCTTACGCATTCATACTAAAAATATGAAATTAGCCGATGACGTCGACTTGGAGCAGATTGCTGCTGAGTCTCATGGACATGTTGGTGCCGATTTGGCGTCCTTATGTTCTGAAGCTGCTTTGCAACAAATTAGAGAAAAGATGGATCTGATAGATTTGGAGGACGATAAGATTGATGCTGAAGTTTTGGCTTCTCTCGCCGTTACAATGGAGAACTTCCGATATGCTATGACCAAATCAAGTCCTTCAGCATTACGCGAAACTGTTGTTGAGGTACCAAATACTACATGGCATGACATTGGTGGCTTAGAAAATGTGAAGAAAGAATTGCAGGAATTGGTGCAATATCCAGTTGAACATCCAGATAAGTTCTTGAAATTTGGTATGCAACCAAGCCGTGGTGTACTCTTCTATGGACCGCCTGGTTGCGGTAAGTTTGTTTATATATTTTCAGTTAGATAGTTTTATATCTATCATAGAGGTAATTCAATTAATATATTAATATATTTGCTTTTTTAGGTAAAACACTGCTAGCTAAAGCTATAGCAAATGAATGTCAAGCTAATTTTATATCCGTTAAGGGTCCTGAATTGTTAACTATGTGGTTTGGTGAATCTGAAGCAAATGTACGTGATATTTTCGATAAAGCACGTTCAGCAGCACCATGCGTATTGTTCTTTGATGAGCTGGACTCAATTGCCAAAGCTCGTGGCGGTAACGTAGGAGATGCAGGTGGTGCAGCTGATCGCGTCATTAATCAGATTCTAACTGAAATGGATGGCATGGGCGCTAAGAAAAATGTTTTCATTATTGGTGCAACCAACCGGCCCGATATTATTGATCCAGCCATCTTACGTCCTGGACGTTTAGATCAACTTATTTATATACCATTACCCGACGAAAAGTCACGTGAAGCTATATTAAAAGCAAATTTGCGCAAATCACCATTGGCTAAGGAAGTTGATCTTACTTATATTGCTAAAGTAACCCAAGGCTTTTCAGGTGCCGATTTAACTGAAATTTGTCAACGTGCTTGTAAATTAGCCATTCGTCAGGCCATCGAAGCTGAAATCCGACGCGAAAAAGAACGCGCTGAAAATCAAAACTCAGCTATGGATGTAAGTAATATATTACACTATATGATACATAATAATTAAAATTATATTGATGACAAACAGATGGACGAAGATGATCCAGTTCCTGAAATTACACGTGCTCATTTTGAGGACGCCATGAAATTCGCACGTCGTTCTGTCTCTGACAATGACATTAGAAAATACGAAATGTTTGCACAGACGTTACAACAATCCCGTGGTTTCGGACAAAATTTCAGGTAAAATTCTTAACGCTTATCTATGTATGTATGGAAATAAAAATTTTATTATCTACTATATTTAGATTCCCTGGCGCTACCAGTAGCTCCACAGGTGCTGGTTCAAGCACACCCTTAAATCCACCCGGTGATAGTGGGGATGATGACTTATACAGTTAGATTTATAGTCTATATTTTAAATTATATAAAAATGAAAAAATAATTTAAACATTTTGTCGAAATTAATTACGTATATGTTAATTAGTAACATCATAAGCGACAACACTTAAGAACAAGTTTGTTTACATTTTACATGTTTACATGTTTACATTTCCTGAATATTTAAATTTATATCGATGTATTTTAAAAGCAATTATTAACATTGCTCTAATATAAAAATTAATTTAAAAATATACCGAACATTCTATAGAAGTACATTAAAATTATTTAGAAAGATCAATGGAAACAAAACGTTTTTAAATAAAAAATAATAAAAATTACATCGTTTTATACTAATTTCGGGTTTTATACATTTTTTTCTTTTTAATGGATTAGTATATAGTTTTGTGGTACTTACAATTTTAAAATAAAAATTTCTTCCCTAAATTTTAGAGGAAAGATTTTGTTATTTACAAACATTTTATAAAATTAGTAAAAGTAATTTTAGAGAAAGTAATAAAAACAACTAAGATAATGTTGTTGAGGTCTGGATATAGCATATGCTAAACAGTTACTAGTCACACATAAAGACGTCTGTCTATAATATATGTACCAACTGCAACACTGGCTTTCGTGATATAGTCCATCTATTTTCATGCTGTTATACACACCCAAATTTTAATCAGCTCTGTAGTTTTGTACTATTGAGGTGGCAAAATTACTTTATTTGGATCCAATATTTTGATATAACCTCATTTGGCGCTTTTTTACTATGCTATGTAAGTTTTCTCATCTTAATAGAAACTTGATTCCAAAGTCAATTTGGGCTTCGACCTAGTAACAACAACAAACTTTAATAATAAGGGAACTCAGCAAACTGTTCCATTTATTGGATTTTAATGAAATTATCACGTTACTGGGTTAATATCGAGTTAAGGCCTTGAATTTTAGAATATTTTTTATTATTCGGTAAAAAAATAATTCTTTTTGTTCTTATAATAAAATTGGAAAGAAAAAAATATATCTAAAAATTAATAATCCATAAATATTACGGAAAAAGTATTTAAGAGTTAAGTTTACACATAGTTTATCATTTTAAAAAATTACTCGGTAGATCTGAATACTGTTACTGCTATATGCCTATCTTATAGTTAATACTAGTATTAATTATAATTACTACATAAAAATATATAGAGAAGCTTCTATGACATATATGAAGTAGGTTATGTATGTATATATACATATATTATCCCTTAACACTTACTGAAGATGAAGACGAAATTCTTCGAAACAAGTTCCATAAACTAACTGCGTCTTCTGTTTACAAAAAAAAAAATTTACTAAATGTGCAAGCAGTGATGTTTAGCTTTAAAATAGAGTTAGACTTTTGTTTCAGAATTGTATTGGAATAATTTCCACGCTGCAGTTCTTAGAAAACGTGAGCAATTTTTCCACAAATCGGCTAGCGTCTGTTTTTTTTAGTTCACAAAGAAATTTCGTTCTTAAATGATCTCAGACGTGGTTATACAATAAACTCAGTTTATTCTTACAACTTTTTAAACCAACTGAATGGAAAAATTTGTTTAAAAAAACGCAGGGCTAATTTGAAGAGTCGTAACTTAAGTCTCAAAACTAAATTAATAATCATCCCTATTCTGAATATTTCCAGGGAATAAGGGAAATGGGAAAATAGAAAAAAACTGCCATTCCCATTTCATTCAGAATAGGGATAAATATAAAAAAACCAATAGAGTTGACAACTGAAGTCAATATTGAAGCTTAAGTTACGGTTGCGAAATCAGTTCTCAGTTTACGAAAGTAAAAATTTATATCCTATCAAGGCAATTCATCTGTTGCTCACATAACATAGACACAGTCTACACAGACTACATAGTACAGTCTGCAGTCTACCGTCGGGAAAATCAGTGAAATAGACTACAAAATGTTTTGACTATTCGCCAGATTTTTGGCCCTTCTTATACATCATTCCTATAAATTTCTTCTGCGAAAAACGATTTTTATTATACGAAGAGGTAGAGCTGCTATATTTCATTGCCGGACAAAGACTATATAGAAGTGATTCATAAATCGAAGGACCATTGGCATTAGTGTATAGGATTGGGAAAATTTGTATTGAGAAATCTCATTTTTACTAGTAAAAGTCTAATTCGCGAACTTGTTAAACAATATAGTATATTGGTAGAGACTATATGTTTATCTGTTTTTATAGTAATATATAAGAAAAAAGTATAATAGTGCTAATTTAATCACAAGTAGCGAGCTCAGTAATAGTGTAACAATGCAAACCAAACTGATTTACAATTACAACAACACAACGGTTAATTGTAGACAAATTCAGTTACTGATCTTTCATTAATTTAAAAACTTTACTGAAATGTAGGTAAATGCCAAGAAAAGACAGAGATTCATCAACTAATCTCAGACAATCTCTAATGGATTGCTTATACTGAGCTGAGGGTTTTTGACAAATGTTTTACGGTGCCATTTCAAAGAAATGGACCTCTCTGAAAGAAATGAACCTTCCTGTCATTGTGACAACACTTTTGCTCTAAATAATATATAGAACATTACGAAACCGTCAAAAGTGATCAACTTTATGAAAAGCTTAACGTTCGGTTGATACAACTAGACTTAACACAATACACCATGTAAAACGCGATTACCCACTTAATAATAATATCGCATTGCATTGTTACTAGATTACCGAGCTCGTTAGCCGAGCTTTGTTAATACAACGAATTTTTATTATTATTAAGTTGGATTCATCGAATTATGAAACGCTGGAAGCAGCTGAAGTGAAACAAAACGTCTTGCAATTCTTGATAGAGTTCAATGGAAACTATTTGTTAAGACCCTATGTTCCACTTAGGAATAAAAGGATTAAATATTATAAGTTGGATAATTAAGATCTTTTATAACCGCTTCATGTATTTAGTGTAGTTATGCAAGTGTGATTTTCGCGATAAATTTTAGTATTAAACCTACTTCTTTGAATCTTAATTCTGTATCCCATTTCAGTTATCTCCCTAGGTAATCTGTAATGCTAACTCAGTCAAAGTTGAACCACAAGCTCCTAGCACGTATTTTACGATCTCATTCTATTCTCATTCCATTAGAGTAAGTTTCTAGGTGTTAATTTTACCTACAGTGCGCTGTCAAACTTCCTGCAGTATTCTAGCGATCTCGATTGTTCTAGATCTAACAGATATTGCTCCAGTATCCCTTTCTTTGCTTCTTCTCGTCTTTCTGTATGTGTGAAAAAGTGGTTTCGGGTCTGGAGACAGTGGGCCTATTTCGTATGTTATATAAAAAATAATATTTTAAATTTCATATTAAATAAAATTACAAATAAAACAAAATTTTTGAAATATTTATTAAAATTTTTATTAATTCGTCCATTAAATTTACTAATTTAATTTGCCTTTGCTTTCTCATTTGATTTAATTTATATTTATAAATTTTATTAAAAATTCCGTTTTCTTTTTGTTTTTGTTTTTGTAACAATTTGATTTTTTTTTATGTAAATTGTAGCACAAAATTATTTTAATTTAAAAATGCTTTAATATTTACTTGCTTGAAATTTCTGCTTTATAAATAAATTTTGGCAATTGATAATTTATTTATGAAAGCTAAATAAATTATAATAAAAATTATAAACGAAATTCTAAAAATTATTTAAAACTATTGAAATGAATGCAATCTTTATTAATTAATTTTTATTTAACTTTTTATTGATTATTTCTAATTAATTTTTTTATAATCTTATGAATTTTATTTTGTTAAACTTATAATTAATTAAATTATTTTCGCTTGCAGTGTCTACACTTTTTTCAATTTATTTTTTTTTTTAAATATATATTAAGATAATATTTTTAATTTAATATAATTTTTTAATTTTTTCTTTTTTTTAATGAAATTACAACACAACAACAAAATTTACATACATTTTTTTAACCTATTTTTGCACAAAATTTTTTATAGAATTTTTTATTTTTAATTTTGCTTAATAATTGCGAAGAAATAAATTTCATATAGATTTTCATAAATTTCCAAATAATTTCTTTTTTTTAATATTGTTTTTAATAAATGTTTATATGTAAATATGATAATGTAGCTATTGCTGTGTGCATTGCTTGTGGGTTTTATTAGTATTTGTTGAACTGCATTTGTGTGTGTTCTTAATTTTTTTAAAGAAAATGTCCAGCATTTTCGTTTTTATAAAAGTAAATTATTTTTACTTTTTGTTTTTAATATAATAAATTTATAAATTTTTATTTCTTGCCTGTCTTAATTCGAAATGAATTTCAAATTTAATTTTTTTTCATTAAAATTCTTACATTTAAAGTCTTAAAACAAGACTAGACACCAATTACATATATTTCAAACATAATTATTTTTTCTTTGTTCTGACATTGTTTTGTATATAATTTAATATTTTATTAAATATGCATTTAATAATATGTTTTGTTACGCTTATCATTTCTCTTTATATTACTAACGATTTGCAATATAAATTTTTATTATAATTTTTCAATTATATTTAAAATATTAATTTTTTTTATATATATATATTAATTTGATTGATTTTTCTTTAACGTAGCTTTAAAGTATTTACGACATACATTTATCTATATAGTAAAAATTCTAAAGAAACATATAGTAAATAAATATTTTATATTTTAAGGTAGATAAGCTCATGTAAGCGAGGGCTTCGAAGTGGAAGGGAAAGTGTATAAGAGGATTGGCTAAAATTTCCGAATCATTTTTCTAGTATCAAAATCGAAATAAGTGACGACAAAGATTTTGACCTTCCACGATTCAAGCACTGATATTGCTTTAAATTTTTTTTACTCTATTATACATTGAAAAAAAAATATATATATATATTATAGATTACTATATAATGTAATTTTATATAATTTTATACAGAATATAAGTATAAGATTAAGATCGAGATAAGTGCTTTAGAAGTAACATTATGTACTTGAAATAATATGACTGTTTTAATTTTCATTTTCATTTTAATATTAATAAATTGTGAGATGCAGCTTTCTATTTTCGTGGTAAATTTAAAACTTTTAGATACAGAGATATGAAAATATTTAAAATTATACTATTTAGAATGTGTATAATAATAAATTTTAAATTTGGATTTAAAAACGTCTTCACATTCTCTGAAAAATCTAAAACTGTGCGGAAATTGAATAATTCATCTTGAAAATAGACATAAAATATGAAACAAGACAAAATCATCAAAGAGGATATATACGATAAATGTCAATACAAACATATACCTGCTTGTAAAATCCCTTTGGGGGTGGTAAATAGCACTTGATCGTCGTGGTTGAGGAGTGGCTCTGAGTTGTAGACCCGGTCGTTTTTGGAACTTTTTCAAGGTTTCTCCATCTTGACCCAGGTTGATTTAAATTCAACACGCACCCATCCGTACTCCCACTGCATAATCCCTCATCCTAACTCAACCTTTACCCATACCCATTCTAACCCATGTGTTCGTCGTGTGATTTCTATCAAGTTATCTGCTTTCCAGTTTTCTGTGGACTACCACAACAACAAAATCTAAGAGGATTGCGTTTATTAAAAAACCACGGATCGTTTAAAACAATAGCGGATAGCATAATATTAGAGTTATTATTATTATTTTTTGAAAAGGGGTAGTGCACTGCGACCTATTCTGCCCCTTAGTTGGATTAGAGTGTTTGTCCAAGTCCGATTTCTTTAATGAAAGACAGTATATAGAATCTATCTTTCTTAGTTGTGAATTCTTTTGATCCATGAAATATCCTCCTAGATGTTATAAATAATATTAGGGTTGTGCTCCATAGAAATCTTTACGTTATAATATCTATTAAACGCATTGGCATATAAAAGATTTTTATGATTCAAGCCCCTTTTAAAATATTTCCGATCATTTCACACTAGATATAACATAATTGAGTTTTGTCAATCAAAATTTTTCATATGAACTTTGAATTAATTTTCAAAAATTCACCCTTAAATGAATCTTTATATTTGGCATTAACTGAACTTATACATTTTTTTTTAAATGATTCTAAATGCATATTGAAATGCTACGATTGTTACAAAACTAGTTCCTTGTTTTTAAACTAAGCTTAGCTAAATAAACTCCAAAGACAACCAAATGGAACGAAGCCAAATTTTGAAGTCAGCAAATATCAGTTTATAAGTTTATAAGTCAAATCCAACTTTACTAATAGATCTAACCACGAGTGGTTCACTTAGGAACGATCTCGCTGTAAAAAAACTATTCTTCCTGAACTTCAGAAATGAAGAGCAAATGTTTCCAAAATCTGAACAAATCAGACAATGATAAAAACAATGATAGTAGTGATAACCGATCACGTACTTCAAAAGTAGTATAAGATGCGATTAGGACTTCCGACAACTAACGAATGCTAATTACATATGTACGGACCTTGGAGAATGTTCTGCTCTTTTAAAATAAAGGAGAAGAATTTTCTACAAAGATATATGATATATGAGATAAGTGAGAGTGATCACAACGATCTGGAAAATATGATCTGCTATCTGGATGCAGCTAAATTTAAAGAAATCCTTTGGTAATTTTGTATAGATAGGATACAATAGTTCATCAATAGATATTTCATCAATGGATAGTTCATAAATGGACGTACAGTCCAGTAACAATAAATAAGTTGTGACTTTCGAAGGTACTGTATATTATGCAGAGTTAACAGTAGTGAACACTTTATATGACAAGCAACGTTTATAGAACATTACACAAAATAATTTTTCATGAGATAAAACAACATAGATTTAATAAGTTGCTAATTATTCTAACCTAACTTATCTCAATGAAATAACAACATAATAGGATCTAATTAAGTATAAATACTAATTTAATAGCTTCTTTTATATTTAAATTTAGATTTTGATTTGAACAGATGGACTTGATTTTCGGAAAACTGTGGACCCGTATAAAAGACAAGAGTCCTTGCTACGTTAACAGGGATGTCTGTTTAGAAGAGGCTCCATATAATAACGATTTCAATGTATTTATATTTTAGTATACTAGCACACAATTTTTACTAGCACACAATATATACTATGATCACGATATTCTACACCATTGAGAACTAAAATCAGCCTACTTTTCTAAAAATAACTTACTATATGTACTGCTACTGACAAGAATACATATTTCTCAACTAAAATGTAATTGAACACTTCAGAGAAGTGTAAACGCTTAATGGCATAAAATTAAAATTTAGTGAAATTTTTACTTGAAAACTGCATCTACACTCGTAATATGTTTAATAATGAATTTTACATGTTTAATTGTCTGTTGTCAAATATGTTATTATTTCCTCTAATTAATTCTAGTTATACAAAGAACTTAAGAGAGGGTCTTTTAATATTTACTTATATTCATTATAAAAATTTTACTTATTTATAAACGCACATCAAAGCTTTAATATATCAATTAAATAGCAAAACTACATTAGTTTTTTTAAATATTAATTTTTCATAATTCATGATATTCATATATAACTATTATGTATATTTGCAAATATTAAAAATAAGCAAATTTTATATTTATTTAGTAATGTTGAACTATTTTTTTCTTGTTTTTAATTTATATATTATATTTTATGATTTTTAATTTTTACTTATTTTTACTCAAAGTATCTTTCAAAAGAGTTGTTCCCATACAACATTGTCGAAAAAGAAAAGAGCTTAGAAGTTAAGTGTTAAAAAAAATATATATGAAAAATTATATTATTAAGATTCAAAGGTAAGAAATACATTATTTTGAAATAAATTTTTAGTTTTAATTAATTTAATTAATAAATAATTGTTTATATTAGTCATTTTGCTTACTATCCATATTTATTTAATAATCTTTTGATTTGCAAGAAATTTTAAATTGTCATAGAATATGAATCCATTTAGCATTTGTAAAATTACTATTAGTTTTTACGTGATGCTAGTATAACATACTAGTATATACTAGTCTAATAGTTAATGTATAATTTTATTAAAAATTGTATATGTATTGTATATAGCAACCACCTCTTATTCTAGAAGTAAAGCGTATTAAGTCATTACTTATATTTATAAGTAATGTGAAAACCTATATATATAGTTTAATATTGAACATCTCTGTCGTATTACAATGGACTCATCTGTTAGAACTAAAGTGTGCTTATGGTTTACGAGGCAGACATACATTATATTCTATCCATCTGTCTTAATAATTAATTATGAAAAAATCTTCGTTATCTTTCCGTAATATATATTATATTTATATATATACTAATTGAATTCATAAACGTTTATGAAATGCTTATTTAACACTACACCAAAGTGTACATTGTAGATATACAAATAATTATCACCCTTACATCGAAAAACCAGAGCTCTGTAGTAGAAACAAGTAAAAAATAAAGAAAGTAAAAAGGAATATATTATTTATTATATATAAATATAATATACATAATATTTCCGTTAAAATATATTATATATAATTATTTTTTATAAAACATTCTCCAGAGTATAAACCCATTATCAATCAATCAAATTCGATAATATGTTTACAGACAACATTTCTTTTTTGCATTGCTTTATAATCGTGTATTTCGTGTAATATAAATAATTCTTTTTTTTAAATAAATGATATCTGACCGAATAATTTATATAACAGATCTATGTCATCTCAAAGCTTAGCTCAATCTGATATCCAAAAGACGAATAAGCCTATATGTGGCCTATAGCCATAATTAACAGACTACTAAATGTCAAGCAGAATACAAAGACGAATACACGAGATTTTCACAAATAGGCATATACCTCATCACATCGTCCCATATGACCTAATGGTGACTTCCATGTTTTCAACCAAACCACTATAGAATTGTAGGCGTTTTATAGTCATGTACATAAGCCATGTATTATATTTATACAATTTAATAAAATAATTTTTTAAATATGGGAAGCTGAATATTTTGACTAATTACACAAATTATTTATTTTAATTTAAATAAATTAATTAAAGTAAGTTCAACTTGTAAATAAATTATTTAAAATTTGCTTAAAGAATCTGCCTTGCACACTTATTAATTTTATATTTATTAAAACTTGTAATTACATTTTATTAATTTATATTGTTTTATAATCATTTTTTTTTATTCAACTTATTTGAAACAATTTAAATAATTAATTTTTTTAATTAATTTTAATTTTTTTCTTATAAAAAGGTTTTATTTGGTTTTTCTTTTTTTGTTATTGATTGCTTATATTTCTAAACAGATAAACTCCATTTTGATGTGTTTTTATTCATTTTCAATGATATCTTGTATTTCATATTAACTTTAAAATAAACACTTAATATACAAACAAATAAAATATTAATAATATTAATCAATAATATATTAATAAAACAAATTAAATACTTAAAATAAAAATTAACTATAAATGAGCACATAAAGGGCGTACTTATTTTTATGCATTTTTCCATAAGAAAAATTTTACATTTTTAACAATATTTTATTTTTTATAATAAATTGTGCTTATTAAAAATAATATAACAAACAAAATACAATTATACAATTCAAAAAAAAAATTAATATAACAAATTGGCTTTAGCATAATTTTTTAATATAATAAATAAAAAAAAAATTTGATGCGTTAATTATTTGGTACAAAAATGTTATTACAAAAAATATTAAAATTTTAAATTATAATTTAATATTATATAATTTAATAAATATAAAATTTTTATTTGCTGCAAAAGTTCTTACGTAGCCTTAGTCTTAAACTTATTAAATACATAATTAAATATTTTTGCTATTAAACAATTTGATTTTTGTTATTTTGTTATTATAATTTTTGTTTTCCTTTAAATTCAAATTGTCACTTATTTTTTTACTTTAAATTTTATAAATTATTAATTAATTTCGATATAATTTTGTATATTTCTCTTCTTGAACTGGGCATTTATATAGTTTTTGTGTGAATATGTGTAGTTGTAAATGTAATTACTCGTATATGTATTTGTGCATATATAAAATTTATTGATATTTATTTTTTGTTTATTCATTTATTTTTTAAATTATTGTGGCAATTTAAATAATTAATTTTTGTGTTTAAATTTAAGTAGGAGCTGCGTTTTCGCTTTGTTTAAATTTATTTATTAATTTCAATCAAATTTTTCTTTTCTATTATTTTTATTTTGTATTTTTTTTTACGGGTGATTTTAAAGATTTTAAAACACTTTTAAATAATGTTCAGACTTTTTATCGTGTATCGGTAATATTATTTTTGCTACCAAAAATTTTGATTAACTGCGTTTCGTAGTCGTCAATGTTACGCTTCATAATTTCCATGCAAGGACCCAATAAACGCTCGAAAACTTGAACTTCAAGGACTATAATAAAATATATATATTTTTTATATCTGAATAAATGATTGATATATATAAGGTGCTTAAATTTACTTTAAAATTTTTACTATATAAAAATGTTTGACATGCACATGACACCAATCAATAAATTTAGGTCTTACAAAATTTCTTAAATATTTATTATAAATTTATAAAAAAATAAATTTATAAAAAAAATAAAAAATAATTATGTAAAGAATTATGCATAATTTATAATTATTATTTATTATAAATTAAAAAAATTATTAATTTATAAAATAAAATAGAAAATAATTATGTAAAGAATTATGCATAATTTATTATTATTATTTATTATAAATTAAAAAAATTGTTAATTTATAAAATAAAATAGAAAATAATAATATAAAAAAATATGAATAATTTTGGAATATGGAATATGACAATTAATTTAGTTACAAATTTAAAGTTAAATATAATATAATATTAAATGTGCAACATTTATTAAAAAACAATAAATATGAAGTTAGTTACTAAATAAATGTTATTATTTCATTTAAAAATGTATATATAAATACTAAAAATAATAAAATTAAGTACTTAAAAAAATCACAATTGATAAAATTAAAAAAATAATTATTTTTTAGCTTATGATTTAAAAAAAAAAATATTAAAATAAAAATTAATATTAATAATAATTTTAGAAAGAAATAAAAATATTGAACATAGACAACTCTAAGTCATTAATACAAAGATAAAGATTTATATAAATAAAATATAAAATAAAAATATATTGATATAATAGTGACTCTGTGATCGATATTATATTAATATTTGAAAACTAACTAAATTTTAACATTGTAATATTAAAAATAATTATAGTTATATATAATAATATAAAAATTTATATATGAAAAACGAAACAATTAATGAAAAAAATCAATAAAATTAAATTTGTTAATTTAACATAAAAATATAGGAAATGTGATAAATGAGATAAGAGTTGATTATTATATCTAACTTCTTCAACTTCGATCCATTTATACTGGAATTTAGATTTAAACAAATCTTAAATTTTAAATTTTTTAAATTTTAGTATATTTTAACTAATATTATAGCAGTAAAAAGAATATATAGTAAACTCTATAATAAACCATACTATAGAGATAAGTAACCTACTATAGATACTCGTATTTATATTGAAGAACTTATATCTGAGATCAGTGTACCCGTAACCTTTTTGGTGAAATATAATAAATTATTTTATAAAATGAAAGTATGGACTAATATTTATCGTGCATTTGACCAATTTTTTTTTCCATTTATTATAAAATATTGAACAATTCACAGATTCTTCCAAATACCAATAAAAATTTCGTGTTTTATAAAATTTTTGATTTTGTGTCCAATAGTGTAAAGTAAATTATTTGCATATTGTTCTTTAGAGTTACTTCACAGATTAACCTATAGCCACAGTTATGCATGCGGACTTTATATTCAAAATTTAAAAAAAAAATTGAAGCTTACCAAAAATAAGAAAATAAAAATTTAACTTTATTCAAAAAAGATATTGGGAAACTACGGTTTAGGTTGTCTCGATTTTACAAAGATTTGCACGCTCTAGTCTAAAAATACTGTAATGATGTTTGTGATGTTAAAATGGGAAAGGATATGGGCAAAGGATTCGTAAAAGGTATATTCATACGACTAACATATTCTGCTATTATTATTTTTATTATCTTTTATCTGTTTAATTGGTCAATAGTAAATTTTTGACGTCTCGATTAAGGAATGTTGGCTAATAACTCTGAAAATTGACTAATAAACTAATATCAAATATTTTATTTATTTATTTGAAAAATAACCTCTATTATTATTAACATGCTATTAAATTATTAAGAATAATACAATGAATAATTATTATTCAGAAATTGCTTTATATTAATATTATCACTATTATGAAAGAAAGAATATCAGTAGAGGCTAGCTGAAATTGAAATAACCCGGAAATCTTGGGGCGAACTAAAGAAATTAGCACACAACTGTACTAGATGGAGATGTTGTTAGTGCCCTATTCTCTAATAAGAGTTACAGAAAAGAAGAAGATTAACATAAAATCTTGGGGCTGAATGTAGTAGTTAGCCCACAATCGTACGAGATGGATAGATTTTGTTGAGACCATCTGCTCTAATAGGAATTACAGAAAAGAACAAGAATAACTTAAAAAAGATAAATAGTTATTAGTTAGGAATGGCATAATAGATACCTATGATCTATTATTATTATTGGTGACGTGTTATTATCTCATTAAAAATAAGATTATTAACCTAATTTTAAAGTAGTTTTTCTTTTGTGGGGCTTCAGATCGTGTTTTCTGTTTAATATTACTTTAAATAAAAAAAAAATTTATTTAAATTAGAAGAAAGAAAGATTATAAAAAACTATAAAAAAATTATAGTTTATTCAAAACACTGTTGAGTTCATGGAATCGGTGAAAAAGAATTCGCTGAAGGAACTAAAAGCCATACCTTCACGGGCCTAAGAAAAGTGTATGGAAGATTGGGTTAAGCGTTGGCATATATGTATCGGTTTAGAAGGAGTATATTTTGAAGGAGATAAAATAAATTTGGAATAAAATTTAAATTTGTGTTTTCGAGTACTTTTTGAGCAGAAGGTATATATAAGTGTTTTTATTTTTATGTGTTTTATAATATATAAAATAATATAAAACAAAAAACGACCTGAAGCTCGACAAAAGAAACAAATACTTATTCTTTTATAAGATTATTTAAAATACGATTACATTTTTTAAAAATGTATATCGGGCATAATATATAACTTCAAAGATAGTTATCTCTCTATAAACCAAGTATTTTTTGATGGATTATATTGTATTATTAATTATTGCAATTTTTAAAAACTTACAAATGCTGAAAATGTTTTCTGAGTGAAAAAATGATTTATTTAATAATTTCATAATAGAATAATATATATTTGTATTATAAAAAGAAAAAGATAGAAATCATTATCTTGCAAATTTGCACTACAATATTTATGTACGGGAATTATCTTGACCCAAATTTGCCAGCTGTTCCTCGTAAACATCAACATTACGCTTAAGTACGTCGGAAAGAAATCCAAGGATTCGTTCAAAAGCTAAACTATCTAGGACTTGAGTTCGTATTTGGTTTTAGAAAAAAAAAAACAATATTAGTAAAAAGTTTAAAAACAATTTAAAAACAATGTAAAAAATATATTTAAAAAGAATTTAATAACAAATAAAAAAAAATATATAAACAAAATTATTTTAAGTAAATTCGGGCAAAAACTTGTAGTAGGTCTATAAAAAATATCTAGACTTTCTTGGTTAATAGTTCTAAATTATTAAAATATGCACGTAAATCGTCTTCTAAATAGCGATATTCTCTAATAGTTCTTCTAAAAACTTCATTACTGTTGCCTAATAAACGCTCAAAACATTTAGTATCCAAAACTAATATATTAAATAATATTTTTTTTTGTTATAATTATTTATTATTTTAGATTTAATAGCAAAATAAAGTAATTTCGGTCAAGGAATTTAAAATGTAATGAAGATATGAGAGGAAAAAAGCAAGGTAAAAAATTAAAAATTATTTAAATTTGCTAAAAATTACTACAACTCAAATGTTTGCATTAGATTTATCTAAAAATATTTAGATAATTTTTTAATGGGGGTTTTTAAATATATGACTTGTCAAATGTAGTAGATTTTTCAGATACTTACATGCAACTTTACAATCACCATCAGCATAGACGGATGCTGCACGTGGTCGATGTGTTACCAAAGCTAATTCACCGAAATATTGACCCTTTGACAGTTTTGAGATCTCAATCTCACCACTTTCTTGTTCCATTCTGACGGAAACTCGACCTTCTTCGATGAAGTACATACCATCGGCCGCATCACCTATATATTAAATGTACAAATTATTTTAAAAAATCGGAAACAATTTTTTTTCATATTTTGTTTCTGGATTTGTTTGTGAATTTGTTTCTCTTACCCTGCTTTATGATTCTCTCATTTGACTTAAAGGTCTTAGATACTAGAGCATCCGCCAAATTCATGCGTTCATAATTCTAAAAAATAGCAAAATAATTAAATTATTTATTAATATTAATAATGTTAATTATGAATATTATAGTTAGCAAGTATATATAAAATTTAGTACATATTTTTCTATTTATCTACATATTTATCTACAGGAATTTAGTATTATATATATTAATGACTTCTAACTTTATTTTTCCTAACAAGATCAGTAAACATGTTTGTTTATAATAAAGTATAAGTGAAAAGAATAATTTGACTAACTAGGGATTCCGAAGATTAAACAGACACTAAAACCTTAGATGTAAAATGTGTAGATATATAGGTTAGTTTAGGAGTTTAGAATGAGTGGTATATAAATGATTCAAATGATTTGCTAACTCCCGACAAAATTATTTCATATATTTAATTAATCCTCTAAAGCTATCTATTCTTATTTTTTATTTATTTATTTTTTTATTATTATTTATGTATTGCAAAAAGAGACAATAGTATCCTACGGTCTATTGCGATATCTGTGAATATGATCTCCCAATCTAACCGGGACTATTGAACCAAATGTAATAAATTCTGTTAGTTATTTTCTAATTTGGTATTCACTGGGACATTTACTAAAATTGCAAAACCAACTATGGTATAGTTATTTAAACCTATAACCCTAAAGAGTAACACATAGGAATCAGTAAAAGAAATAATAGTAGTTATCGCTTAGGATACAATGAAAAGTTTCGAGTCTTTTTTAGGGAAAATGGGTATTGTTAAATTGAATTGCGGTACAGATATTTGAATTATTACGATAAAAAATAGAATAAAAAAGAATATTAAATAATAATTGCAACACAATGAAGAAATTCGGGACTTTTTCAATAAAAGCGGATGCTATTGATTAAACTACGGTGCCATCATTCAAACCAGAATGCAAAGGAAGACTTAGATATAAGGATCTTTAAATTTCTAATAAAAAACCCAGCCATTTTCACTTGCGACAAAATGGAAAAATTGACGCTAAAGTAAGAGAAAAACACAAGAATCTTCCAGATAAGAATAATTCATATAAAATGATTATTTATAAAAATACTAAAAGTGATCGTTTGCACTACAATAAAGCATTTTCAGACTAATCCCATAAAAAAGGGTGTTGTTGAACTCTAATTAGTGACAACAATAACCCCATTACTGGTGAATAAGCGTTAGGTTGATGATATCTCGTCTCAGACGTAAAAGATTACAGCAGCGCCTTAGCTGTATTTCAAGCTGGAATACTAGATGATGATGGATAGTAAAACCAAAAAAAAAAAAAATCATGTTTACTAGAAAGAATATGTAATTACAATTTTTTACTTGTATGTACATATAAAATTGCTATACCTAAATATTGTAATATGATAAGATGATGATGAAATTTATGTTGTTTATTCCTGCTAATTGTTTGGGTTATAAGTAAATATCAAGAAAAAGTATCAGATATACATAGGCAATTGTATATTTATTCACTCAAATATTTTTGTTTTAGAAAAATTTGCAATTCTGTTTATTTTGCTAGGGTTAAAAACATTTCCAATGAAATTGTGTGTAAATAAAAAGTAAAAAATAAATTTTAATTGAAATATTTTTATCTGAAGGGTATCAGTGAAACGCAGATTATTTCGTACAAAAAATATTGATGGTTATTGTCAGCTTTGATTCAATTTTATTTTGATTCCCAAATTAGTTAACTATTAATGAAATGTTTAAAAATTCTACATAAATTGTAATTGAAATAGATATCACAGCATAAGATATCACTGCGATATATAAGTACTGTGATATATATCATACGTTATTCTTCTTTTACAATATAGACTACTCAGCAATTTTACTCTTAATCAAACTTGAATCTCTACGTATAATGTTGTAGACTTTCTCAGTGATATCTGGTGTTGTTGCACTTTTTGGATGCTTACTAAGTGGTTCATCTTCAATGCTTAATCAAAATTAAATCTCCACAAATAATGTTGTAGACTTTCTCAGTGATATCTGGTGTTGTTGCACTTTTTGGATGCCTACTAAGTGGTTCATCGTCAATGCTTGCACGCCCACATTAAAGTTCTAACAGTCATCGATACATAGTTGGAAATTATTTTAATTTTATTATTATTTATTATTTTAATATATTCACCATTTTTGTATGAATTTATATTGCTGACAAACCTGCTAAAACAAAGAATTTTATGAAGAATTTTATGGCGATATTCGGATTTTTCCTTTGTGACAAATTCATCGACACATCAGGTTGAAATGACATAGAAAAAGACTGAACTGGCAGATCGAAACATCTTAGTGTGTTCATATGAAAGATAAAATATCAAAATAGCGTATAAATTTTGAATCTTCTAGTGGTTAATAGGTGGAGCTTTCCAAACTTTTTAGTTCACTTGATATTTTTTAATTGAAAAAACGATTTGAAATATCTTATATATTGACAGCAATAATACACCAGCATTGTGCCTAATAGTTCAGAAAATTAATTAAATAAGTATATAACTGAAACTAGTGAAATACTTTTGTGATTGAATAACAGTCTGGAAACATCGTATCTTCCAATTAATAATACTCATACACCAGTAATATCCCAATATCAAATCAGACTGAAGTTATAGAATGGCTAGTTATATACCATTCAAATTAGTATATAACTGAAATAAGACGAATATCTTTGTGAGTGCATAAACGCTTCTTGAAATATTTTATATAGTGACGTCGGCAATAGAACAGGAAAGCATTAAAAAATTATTCTTGAAATAACTTATTTTTTGACACCTATAACAACCCAGTATTAAGCTAATCAACTCGGTATATTTTTTTGATTACAAATGACTACAAGATTTTATTTCTAAGACTTGATGTGATTTTAAGATATCCTTTACAAATCTGAAAGTTTGATGACAAAAACTTTTTGCGAAGGCATTTACTAACAAAATTTAGGATTTAATACAAAAACACTGTTACTCATCCGACTCAAAATCCGGGATACTTATTAAGCAAAACAGAAATTTTAATGAAATATACCTTACGTATCCAAATTCTTACCGAAGTATCAATAAAATTTAAAACTACCACTATGTTCAGACAGCAATTTTTTCTTAATTCCGTAAAAATTAAATTAAATTAATTTCGAAAGTGTACATACTGCCCCAAATTAAGGAAATCATATGTTTTCTGTTTAAAAATCGAAGCAAAATTTCCTTTATTCCGTAAAAGTTAAATTAAATTAATTTCGAAAGTGTACATACTGCCCCAAATTAAGAAAATCATATGTTTTCTGTTTAAAAATCGAATATTAAAAATTACATGCGGAAAGACCATTTATATATGGGAAATTTTAAAAGTTGATTATTAAAATTTGATTATTTTGTATAGAAAAAACAACTTAATTTTGCTGAAACGAAGATGAAATTAAGTATTTTACGAAATTAAGATGTGAATGAATATAATATATAAGTTTTTAAATTAATCTTTAGATTTAAAGAAAATCTTGTGTGTACTTTAAATTTTTCCCATTTATACAAATGTATAATAATTTATTATTTGCAAATTTGTTTAAAACTCAAATAGTGGATAGAATCAATACTCATAACGGCATCAATCAATCAAGATGAAATCTCCATATAAATTTTTTTCCACAACTGTCGTTCACACTTTTTAACTTTGAATCCGCTTTCATTTAACTTCCATACAATTAAAAAACAGAAAAATACTACTAAAAGAGCATAGAGTAGTGTGAAGTTTGAATTAAAAAAAAAAATGGACATTCTATGTCATTTAGAAAAAAAATAGAAATTTCATCATATATCGAAGAGAAAATATTTTTCTACACTTATATTACATATTTACAAAAGCACATATTCTTCTAACAAAAAAAAGTACTTTTTGTACTTTTTAGTACTTTTATGTAAAACTCACCTGCAACGCCTTCAGCATAGGAACACTGTCCAGCAGTGATTCATACATTTTTCGCTTCTTGAATGCGGATTTCAATAGAATGCGACGGAATGTCTGCCGATCCATGGCCCACAGCAAACCTTCTGTTTCAGCTTGAATAGTAGCGGCTCTAAAAAGTATACAAAAAGAAAACAGTTTTTAAATACTTTTTCTAATAACTGAGCACTTTTTTTTTTTGTTTGTTAATTTTTTGAAAGCAGATTTTAACCGAAAAAATCCTCTTTAGTAGTGCCCACGACATACACGTGCACAGTGTGTAGTTTAATATATGCGACGTTGTTAGGGCGCAGATAACATTTAGGTGGCTGTTTCATTTTTATTTTTAATTTTTTACATCCTTTTCGAAAAAAAAGGATTTCACACACCAGTGCACACTTGTTGCACGATTTTTTATAAACAGAGCAGAGCATCCATCCGCCTTTTTTAGAAGCCTTTCAAAACAGCCTTTCGAATGAAAGGTAACAAAGGTAGAAGGTGAGTGAATAAATGACAGCTTGAATGACTACAACTAAACCCTACAAAACTACGTTTATTATTTACTTCTATATACACACATGCATATATACGAGTATATAGTACTTTCCTTTATATATAACTTTTTTATAAAGATTTTTTTTTTTATTTTATTGATAAAATTCATTCTAAAAAGGGAATTTTTAGATTTTATTTCTTTAAATAAACATGTGTTGTCAAAATATCTCTTTAGGATTTTAAATATGAATAAACCTAGGGTTTCTCTCTACATAATTTTATAATTTTTTTCAAGCATTTTATAAATTACGAAATCTTTTCTGACTTTAGAAAATAACAAAATATAATTAAATCTTAATTACTACTTCTTATTAAATTAAAATAGAGCAAACGAAATTTTCAATATAAAAAAAATAGGTAAATTCAATAATAATATATAGGTCTCATCTCAATAATGTGGGCTTAGTAATTAATCATTCATCTCACCCGTTCGACTCGTGGAGTAACATAAGCATTACAGTTTCAGTATCATGTTCCTAGATCAGGTTTTATACATAAAAAAGAATATATAAATCATGCAACAAATAATACCTCTTCAAAAGAATAATATTGAAATTTAACAATTAAAAATAAAAATATAATTAATTAATTCAATTATTCTACAGCTGGGTTATGATTTCGTTCTAATATAAACACAGCAAATGAATTTGTCAATAAAACTTTCAAAAAAAAAAACAAAATTCCAGAAAAATGTGCGAATATAAAAATCAAGTACGACTTTAGGTGAGTTGGTTAAGGTGCGCTGACTCTGAGCTTCAAATTAGGCGGGGCACGAGTTCAGCCCTTGGTACTTGCAGTCTCAAAAAATTATTTACGAATAATTAAATGCAAGGAATATTTCCAAGATCACTGATGATGGGTATTTGGCAATATCCGAAACAGCTGTATGGTCAGCCAAAAATTCAATTAATTAAAATAAGATAAAATTAATTTTTGTTGTTGTAGTTCACGACTGTTCTAAAAATCTCTTTATTAATCATTTTATTAATTATATTGATAAACAATGTTAATTGTTACTATATAATGTTTGAATCATGTTAAAAAAAATAATATTAATAGTCCTGAATACACTGGATTGCTCTTTTAGAATAATTTCCTTTGTGCTTCAGTCCACAACAGATGAATTTCAATGGTTGAAAATTCGCTAAAGCGAACTGTACTTAGTTGTTGTATAGAATACATGTGTATAAGAACTCAATTATAAAGAAATCGATCAATCATCAAAGACGTCAGAAAGATACAGACATACGTGTAAACCGAACAATCAAAACGTTTGACTATTATTGAAGCTATTTAAAATAAAAACCGTAAAGTATATTTAATGAGATTTTGCGTACATGTCTTTAAGACTGGATACGTCCATGTCTTGTATGTTTATAAGAAGTCAATTAAAAAAGAATCGATCAATCTTCGAAGACGTCAGAAAGATGTAGACATATGTGCAAAAAAAAAACGATCTTTAAAATATCTTTAATGATATTTTGCGTACATTTCTTTAAGACTGGATGCGTTTATGTCTTGCACAATATCCGTGTTCTATTATAAATGTAACCTTATACCGTAATTGTTTCTAGTTATTTTATTTACAGTTTTTTTGTACTATATATTATATATTCTGTTTGAGGCGTTAGTTATATTATAATATAATCATGCAAACGTTGTGCTCATAGACAATACTATAAAATTCAATTAATTAAATAATAAAAAAATTATGTTGTTGCAATTCTTCTCTGTTGAAAAACTCTCTATATATATAATAGATATAAAGTTTTAATTACCTCGGCATATTATAGAGCAGAGCCAGTTCACCGAAATTACCACTGTTGTTATAGGTGTGAACATGATTGTCATTTACTATGACTTTATAGGTGCCACTGTAAGAAAAAGATGAATATTGTTTTTATTAAATAAATAATTACTTATTTTATTATTTATAATAAAATTCTACATAACAATATATCATATTTAATAATTCTAAATTGGTTTACATTATTTCACTGCAACACAAAGTACTTTAAACTCAAGATATCTAAATGATGTAGAAACCGTACGCAAAAGTCGACTATACATTTAATACATGTTAATGACTCTATATATACTAGACTAGAATATGTAGGTCACTTTACAGTTGAGAGTATCGTAAAAAAAATTACAGAATGAGCAAAAAATTGGAAAAAATCACACAATTCATCGAAATGTGCTAAGGGAAGAGAAGAAAGATCTAGACGCAACTAATCTAAAACGGAGAGCTATCTAATGACAATTCAATTCGGGTCAGGAGTGAGAGCTTGGACGCATATTTTACGAGAAGCATATGGCATTGATGGCTAACTTATAAGGGATCATCCCTGAAGTAATGCAAAAACGGTTCTGAGGGGATAAATCCAGCAAAAGAAGAGGAGGTGTTTTAGTTCGTATATTACAAAGTAGGAGTCGGACACAATATTCCGGCGAAGGTTGGTTTGACGGTATATAAAGCATTCCACCTCTTCACCACCAAAAAAAAAAATATATATATACTAAACTATTGTATTACACCATATTATATACATATTATTTATATATATATTTATATAGTTGTATATTATATATAATTTATTATTTATATACCATTTAATATATTTAAAAATATATTTAGTTATAAAATAACTAAACATTTTAATTTATTTAAAATGAAATGGTAACAAGACTTTTAGTTTAACTAAAATTCTTAATACAAAATCTTAATCTTAATTAACAAAATAATTAATTCAAAGCAAACATTTTACTAAAAAATCCCCAGCTGCACATAAATTGTATTTAAATTGATTTATTAAATTAATTATATTAAAAAAGTAATCTCCTATTTCTTAATTTTTGAATATCTTTCGTTCGCAATTGGCAGTGTGCCATGAAATTCTCATTATAAACAATAAAAAATTCTGCAGAAGTGAAGCACAGATCCAAGGCGTGAAGTGCTCGGAAAGACAGACGAAATTTTGTTCATTACTGAAAAATTTCTAAACATTTTAAATGCGACGTCCGACAATCTTCGGGGATGTGCGTTATTAGGTTTGCTGCACGATTTCTAGCACTAAATTGTGTAATAAATATGAAGAAAAAAAATTGACTAAATTAAATTAAAACAAAAAATAAATTTAAGAGAATGCCACCACTAGGGCGAATGAAAATGCAGTGAAATCTCTGAGGTGAAGTGAGATAAAACGAAAATGATAACCTGAGGAGCGACAGAATCTTGAATATTAACTTTCGATTTCTTTCAAAAGATCTACGAATCTAAGTGGCGCTAATTTTAGATAAAATTGTGATGTAATATTGCACATTAAAACCATTTAATTTTATATTTATAGCGCAGAGATATGCAATATCTTTATTTTAATTTAAAATGCTTTTAAAAGCAACTCATTGAATGAATAAATTAAGGAAAAATTGGATAGAAAGCAATTGTAGTTTATAATCATAATCACCGTGATAACATGATTGAGTCACTTAAAAAAAATAAAAAATAAAACACTTTAAATAAAGAAAAGTATGAATTTAAAGACACGTGTATATTAGGCCAATTTGTACTACCATCCAAACAAGATGGCTCTGTCGTAGAAAATAAAATCTTAACACTACTTGGATGCAGATGAAATTGTAGACACGTTCTTTGCAACTGTCTATAATTAAAATATGCTCAGCGGAAGATATTGTGGTTTTTATTCAAAATTCGAATGCCTTGTTTTCACTATGTCATTTTAAATGACAATTATAATTGTCTGGTGTGTCAAATGCGTTTTCATTATATGACAATACGAATATGACATCATATGACTATCCGCTTTCATCTTACTGACAATATTTGACATTGAAAATGACTTAATCATTAGTGGTTGCTGTTATTTAAATTAATCTGCACTTTTTTGAAAACCTATTACACTAGTCATCTCTATTCTATATAATAAAAATGATATATACATGTATATGCTACAATATTATTTAAGTTTTTATTTTTTATATATAAATTATTACATTTGTAGACTATTATAAATTTATGAATAAATAATTACAACTTACGTCTCAATTATATAGAAATTGTCACCATCTTCACCCTGGCGGATTATGTATTCATCAGGCTGTACACGCCTTTCGAACATAGCGTCCAAAACTTGATTCATCTGAAAACAATTTGGATATTTAATATTTATTTCCAGCTACTTTTACTATCAACTTAAAATATTAAAGCTTAATAATAAGCAGATATAGAAAGCCTCACACAATAATCGACAATAAATCGTGTTGACTGGTCTTGAAACAGCAATAACTTCAAAAAATAAATGCTTTACTATCATATTCCAATAATAATATAATGATAATAATAATATTTAAAACTTATTTTAGAAATGCAAATTTATTTTAAATATTCTTTTCTAATAAAATTTCTCAAAAGTAATAACATACCTGTTCTTTATCCAGTGAACGAAACAGTAGAACATTCTTAACGGATTCAATAAGACGTATACGCTGCTCATCTGATTTAGGGAATACAGCGGTTGCACCCTCATCATCGTCTTCGTTTTCGGGATCATATGCTTCAGCAAAAACGGATTTACGACGACCACTGAGCTGAATAGGTGGTTCTAGAAAAAAAAAACGAAAAGATAATGTATTTTTACTGTAAGATAAATATATTTTTTAAATATATTATATTGTATAAATAAAATACTTTTTTATTTAATATTTATTAGGGTGTAATCATAAAATTCATAAGATAATTATGTTTATATATTCGTTAGTGTGACAATTAAATATTAGGTATATATTGAATTATTTACTTTATTATTTATATACAAAATTTGATCAACTCAAACAATAAATTAAGTTATTCTATTCTTGATATTCCTTTACATTAATTTTTTTGATGTGTTTCGGACATCAGCAGTATCCCACAATACTGCAATATTTGGTTTGCGTTCAATGGTGTTAAGTGACATTAAATAGTTGTGTGGAGTTCCACTTTTTGATTGTAGTTCCAATTATACTAGATGTTATTCTAGATGTGATTCATTCAACAAATTTTGTAACTCTAAACAACAACATCAAATCAATCAATAAGCACTCGTACTAAGCTCCGAATATTTAACTCGAACGTCAAATCAACGTTGTTCTACAGATGCGAAACGTGAAAAAACACCTCGTTTATTCATTCCCGCATCCAAGTATTCATAAACAAATGCTTAAGAAGAATACTGAAAATATTGTGGCCGGAGCACACATCCAATACTAATCTTTGGGAACGCACAGAACTAATACAAGCTGCAAAAAAAAAGAAGTAGAAGAAGAAAATGGTAGTTGATTGGCCACATGCTTAGGAAAACAGCGACCTGCATATCAATGCAAGCCCTACGGTGGAATCCACAAGGTAGCTACTAGCCTGGAGGCCTAGCTAAAACATGGCGAAAAAACGTGGACTAGGAGCTTAAAGACGCACAGTACTCCTGGAACCAAATTACGAGAGCAGCAGGCAACAGAGTAAGATTTAGAGGAATTGTTAAGGTTCAGTGCTTCACTAGCAGAGATGGAGAATTGAGTAAGTGGACAACAACATATGAGGCTAATCCCAAGAAAACACATATCTTATCTCCACCTATGCTGCTTCTACTTGAGAGAAGATAAGATATTTTAGTACTTAATAGAAATTGACTTTATTGCTGGTTTGAATCATGCGGCCTGTATTTTAAATTTTAGTTCAGATGCAGTCCGCTGCAATTAACTCGAATTAAAAGTTTCGTTTTAAAAACATGCAAAGTTGCAAAAAGCTTTCTAAATTATTTCTTTCATAATTCAACTTTAAATTAAATGGTAATTAAAGATAATTGGAAAATCTGATTATAAGTAACTAATGACTTAATCGAAAGACTCACAGTTCAATTGCAAACATTTTACGGTACTTGAATCTCCACAATTGGCAAATTATAGTCAATTGACAAAATATAATTTCTTCCATGAAATTATGCAGAAATATGGAAAAATACGAAAGTTTTAAACAACCAAAAATTAATATTTATTTATTATACATTTATACAAATTCTTTACATATTTATTCTTTACATATTCGTATATTTATGTCTTCACGTTTATATATGGTATACAGTTGTATGACTGCAATACTATATATCAGACATTTGGATATGGAGCCAATTTTCAGGGTTTCATGACAAAAATTCGCATATTTTGCTTACATCAAATATTGATGTGCACATGTGGATGCTGCAGATACATTTCCAACTACTCTCGCTTGATGATGATAATTTGCATCAGTGAAATGTAATATTTTACAGAATAAAAGTCAAAAACCAAAACAAATGTCACGATTTTTATTATTTTTTTTTTTCTTGAATGGAAAACATACAAAAGTATAACAGTAGTAAAAGCTCTCCGAACGAAAAGTATTGTGAAGCATTGCCTGTATCTGAATGAATATACGCTACTTGATGTACCTCATCCAACGCACGCAACATTGGCTGGTGGCTGGCAGCATTGGTAGCTTTGGCCTCCTGATATGCAAATGCATAAACGTGCATTATTTCACAATATGGATGCAAATATGTTGATCCAATTATGCAATGTTGTGTGCTGTCAAACACATAAAGCCCGCTTTTGGCTTTGCTCCGCCGCATTGTACGCCGCAAATACAAGTAAAGATGCCGCAAAATGTTGCACCGAACTGCACACTCGAAACATGAGACTTAAATTGCCAGTCAGACGAATAAATAAAATTGCAAATTTATACAGAAATTGGTATATGGATAGCTACTTCCCCACTCGACATCAAGCCCTCAACCAAATTAAAAGGTAAGAGCTTCACTTACAAACATTTTAATTCATTTTCGATTTTCCATTTCATCAATTTTTAAGTTTCTACTGCTTTAAAACAAAATTATATATGCTAAATTTAATAAAATAAAATAAACTAATTTAACGTGAAGTTATAATACTTCATGTTTTTATTTAAAAGTTTTAATCAAAAGATTGAATTCACAAATGTACTTCACAAAATGATTTTAAAAAATTTTATATTAATGGATGCTTTGTCATTCTCTGAAACTATCTTTTTCGTTTAAGGTTGATATCACTTCAAAAATAATTTACACCTTTCAGTTTTACATCAATCGACCCCCCCTTTTTTTATTAACGCTCGCGGTTGATGGCTACTTTCATCTTAATGGCTGACGAGATATAAACTTTTGTCAGGCTTCATTCTGTGAGTCTGGCTAATCTAATGTCATTAGTGTATATATGTAGAAATTTGCTATGCTCCACTTACGAGAGAAGGACAGCGTTAAAAAAAAATACAGAAAAAAAAGTTTAAAAAAGTTTATATTAACACAACTATATGTGCGAATATGAAGAGTCAGAATATTAATTAATATCGGTGCAGAGCACTGCGATCATAGCTGTTCTTTTGTGCTGCTTACTGGCCGAACTTGAACAGAAGACACCGCCCTTCGAATTGAGTTCAAAAAGTCATACTGTTGAATACATTCTGTTATCAAACAGATATAGAAAATCCCGGCTCAATAATTTTCTATAAATCAGGATAATGAATACTTTATCATGAGTTTCATGATTTATCAAAAGGATAAATAAAAGATAAAAACAAAACAATCACTGCAATGCAAATAGAAATCCAAACAAGATAACGAAAAATGCGACTGGAGTTTTTTCAGCTGCTACTACAATTGTCTCTTAGTTCAGAATAAGTAAGAACAATCACACATAATGCCATTAGACATTAAAACAGCGTAGATACGAGAAATACGATTAGTGGTCTCATCTAATTATAAACAAAAACGTTATTCTGTCTTCAGCCATATTAGATAACTTGCCAACAAAATCATCTCCATTCTACTGAGGAGGGACACCTTAACTCAGTTATAAGAATAAACTAACTCTTCGACCTAGAGGTTAACGAAAGTGTCACAGCAATAGCGACTTCTTGTGACATTTTTCTAATATATAGCTTGTTGTGGACTAATTCAATTTACAATAAGTTCAGTTTAGGTCTACATAATTAACCTCCCGATTTTTGCGAAATTTTCTACAGATTTATAGCTATTGATTCCTCTATGATCAGGTAACAAGCACAGCAACACCCTATACTATGCTTTTAGGTGCTTCAGCACATCATAGCAGTCAATCAAAATTCTATAAGAAAACTTCCCAAAGGGTAATGCTTTAATATTGCTTAACAGTCCGTGTACATACAGTTATGGGGATCTTTCAATTTATATACATATATACACATATACACATATCATACACATATTCATATACATATATTGTATTATTTGATGATTATTTAGAATTTTTCATTTATAGCTGCTACAAAGACAATTACTTATGCAGACACTTATCGTCTTAAAATTTTGTCCGTTTATGAGAGAAAACAGTGCTAAAGAGCTTAAGTTAACCGTCATAATGATAACAGAATTTTGATTTAGAAGGAATATTTAACAAGGGTAACCGTTCAATATGGGTATATGTTCAACAGGTGTATCCGTTCAATAGGTGTATATGTTCAACAGGGGTATATGTTCAACAATGGTATCTATACAAAAGTGATACCTGTTCAACAATGGTATTCCTTCTACTGGCATACCAGTATATCAGGAGTAACCATTTAATATGGTGGCACTGGGTTCAAACATTGGAACCCAGAGTCACAGTACGAACGAAGTGTCTTTTAGGAAACTTTTCACGGTATGTGATTATATCCTCTTTTTTTGTATAAATTTATGAGAATGAATTAAAAATAAATATTTTTACAATAATCATTTTTTACTTAAATAACATAAAATATATAAAAGTGCTTGAAAGATTTAAGCATATGTTGTATTGAGAGCTCAGTCCCCATTAAAATATTTTCTGAATAAATTGAAAAATATTTTTAAAATTATTTAAATTTATGTAAACCATTTAAGTCGACCTAATACGAATTTTCCACTCAAACCGTGTAAATGTTTCGATGGGGAAAAGTGAAAAATGCAAATTTATATGCATTTTATTTCCCATCGAAAGAGTACTCCCCCTTTTCTCATTGTGTGAACAAATTTTCTGATAAAAATGAACAAACTGAATGGAGCTTTTAATCCGCAGACCAATGATGTGCACAGTACTCTGAATAACATATCGGAAATTCGCAGAATAGATGGTCAGAACGACTTGTAAAAATGCAGATAATAAAAAAAATGTTAGTAAATAGAAAAAATAATTTGATTCACATTTTATAAACAAAAAATTAATTTTTATTTGTACTTGAGTATTGAACTACACCAGACTATACATAATTGAACAAAAAATGATACAGAGAGGATGTTTGTATATATTTGAAATAAATAAAAAAATAATTTCAACGCACATCACTATATAAAGTTAATAAATAAGTAAATAAGAAACATTATTAACGAATAGTTTTTAATTCAAAAAATTTTGTCAACATTTCCTGTAAGTAGATTAAGATACCATACATATTAAGGAAATCCCAAAAAATGTTTTATTCTTACGTATGAATTATGTGATACACATTTATTTATGTTCAATGAAATGCAATTATAAAATATCTAATAAAATTTTATAT